TCAAATTAGTCTCACAAAGAGCAAGTAGGTCTGGTGAACTTTGCAAGAGATAAGACTCAACAGAAGAAAAGTTGCTTCGAAGACCACGAATATTAGTAAATGATAGGTTTAGAGAACTTGGTGATGACGATGGTTTTTTGTGTTTTTTAGTTTTAGGTACTTTAGTCATTTTAAATTTATAAAGAACTTGACTCAAGTATAGATAGTACTCAGTACACTATTTAACAACTAAGCAATAGCCTCATTACTATTAATAAACCCTAAGCCGTAACAAAGGGCTCCAAATGTGGCCTCTGCAATGCACACCAAAAGTACAAACAGGGACACCATCCATGCGCAACATGGCACTGTTAGTACTCTGATATTTTTCGGCTGTTGATGGAATCAGCCTCTCTGAGAGCTACCACAGAGTTCGAGAAACCTGACTACCAGCCGGCCTCAGAACCATAAAACTGAGTTTTAGAGCTGTACCCTCATTAGGAGATAATAGAATGAGTTGCCCAGTCATAAAAATAGAGACACAAGCAATACCCACGCATTGAGTCAAGAAGATCCAGCGTTCAACATCCTAAACAGAAAACAATGTATTAAAAATACATCTGCGCCAGCCTAATAGATGAGGAAGGGGTGCGAGGCTGGTCAACAGATAGAATCTGTTTACCCCTTAAGTCTTTGCCTAGGAGGCCTTCTACAAGACAGCAGCTGGATGCATGTAACATCTGCCCAAGATGATTATTTTTATCGAGACACCATCTCTAGCCTTTACTCAACCAAGAGCCCCAAGGCAGGGGGTGTTTTAATTCGGAGTTAACTTCTCCTAGCCTTTGCCTAAAAAAGCGTATCCTACAAGGCAGCAGGACATGGAGCAGGTTGTACTGGGTTACATGTTACCAGTAGCAGGAAAACCTGACCTGACATATCTTTGCAAACACGTATGAGTTCGTCAGAAATAATAAAGTAATATGAATAACTTTTTTTTTCAATTTTGGATTTTCAGCCAAACGACATCTTTTTTTGTTTTCTACGATTGTAGTTTCGGGGTAGAAAAGACGCTTTTCTTGATCATTCAAAATCCAGTGTTGTTTGTGCAAAGTTTCTTGATCAGTAACACTAATTTTTATTTTACATTTGAAACGACACACTGTGTGATCTCTCTTACAATTTTTAATAAATTTCACCCTTTGAATTTTATTGTTTGAGCCTACGTATTGCTGACCACTCTATCTAAGTGTCTTTCTTATTGCGTGTAAGATCCTTTCCAGTTCTTATGTGCTTTCTGACACTTTCTCTGGGATTTTCCTTTGAAGTGGTATGAACAAGTAAATCATCATTTTTATCAGAATTTTGTGATTGAATCCCAGAGAGAGGTTCAGAGGAGTTGATCTGAATAGTAGGTTTTAATTGAATGTCTGCAACATCTTGTTCCTTTGAGTTTCTAAATAAATATTATAAAAAGTAATATATATATTATATATATATATATATATATATATATATATATATATATATATATATATATATATATATATATATATATATATATATATATATATATATATATATATATACATATATATATGTATATATTTATTTATACATATATATATATATATATATATATATATATATATATATATATATATATATATATATATATATATATATAATTTGCGGATATATATATATATATATATATATATATATATATAATATATATATATATATATATATATATATATATATATACAACAGACAGGTCAGGTTATCCTAATGTCAAGTTAGGTTATCCTGCTACAGGTAACATGAAATCCAGTACAACCTGTTTCATGTTAATGTCAGGAAGGGCATCCGGTTGTAAAAAATTGCTTCAACTCTTACATAGTGGCATTTATGTCACTTTGTAGAACCATCCAAACCACACTAGTGTGGAAACATGGATGTAAAACTTCAAAAAAAAATAAAATAAAAATAAAAAATATATATATATATATATATATATATTTATTTGTTTAGCAACAACAATAATAATAGTATTAATATATTAAATATATAATAGTCATAAGAAAGGAGCAGTCTGAACTATTCACAATTTCATAACTTAGAGTATTCAAAAGTTATATTCGTACCTTTGAAAGACTTCCTCAGTAGTTTCATCAAATGCTATTTTCATCAAATGCCATTTAATAAGTGAAGTTTTAGCGGCAAAAACAAATTCTTAGCTGAAAAGAACTCATGTTTTGTCTTATGATTCGTCAAAGGATATACGGCCAGTTGATAATAATAGTTACTTATTTTTTGGACATACAGCCTTCTGGTTCTTTTAATATAGACCTAATTTTTATGATTTTTGAGACTAGAATCAGCCCAAACACAGATTTTATCTTGAAGAACATATTTTAATAATAAACACAAAAAAAACGAAAAGTAGACATACAGCCTCTTGGTTCTCGGCTGACGATATATATATATATATATATATATATATATATATATATACATATATATATATATATATATATATATATATACATATATATATATATATATATATATATATATATATATATATATATATATATATATATATATATATATATATATATATATATATATATATATATATATATATATTATATATATACATACACACACAAACATCTGCATACATAGATAAACAAAAAATGATAAAATTGCTTACCTTTTGTTTAGTAACATTTAGTATATATATATATATATATATATATATATATATATATATATATATATATATATATATATATATATATATATATATATATATATATATATATATATACACATATATATATATAGGTAAAGCTACAGTTACGCAGCCTAAAATAATTATATTTTTGCCAGGGGGTTTTGCTACATCGACTATCTTATAGCCTGACTCATAACATAACACATAATACAAATATAGAGTGACAAGGATACCTCTTTTAACTACAACAACTTTTTCTTGGTAAGATATACCACTTATAGAATCTATTAAATGAAAGAATATCTATTTTATTTGATTTATATATAATTATTCTAAGAAAAATTAAAAATTACATAAAAAATTGAATAAATTATATATATATATATATATATATATATATATATATATATATATATATATATATATATATATATACATACATATATATATATATATATATATATATATATATATATATATATATATATATATATATATATATATATATATATATATATATACATACATATATATATATATATATACATACATATATATACATATATATATATATATATATATATATATATATATATATATATATATATATATATATATATATATATAATATATATATATATATATATATATATATAATAGCATTCTCAAACTAGGTTTGAGAGTCAAAATGCTAGTAGGTATTGTATAAACTAGGACAACATACGTGGTATTATATCCTTGTATATCAAATTAATTTGTTGATTAGAATATCATATCCCCCATGCATGGGCCATGGTAAAAATAATATGAATACCATTGACCTAATAACACATGATATGATACGTATTATTTCAACATCTTTTAACTCTTTAAACTCTTTTTAAAGCATTATAATTCATATGTAGAAAACAATATTTTCCCACTACTATAAATCAATAAAATCTTCAAAATATATTTAAAAACTCATTTGTTTTTTATTTCGGACGACTTCGGTGCACTTCTAAATACTATAATTTTAAATCGCATCTGCGTTTTCAATTTTCTTATAGGGGATATGATAATCTAGGCGGATACGATATTCTATTACACTACTCACCAATATTTTATATAAACGTATACGTCAAGTAAAGAATATAAAATCAACAAAATAAGTAAGAATAAACTTTTTACAAATATAAATAAGAAAAGGCAAAGTTATTAATTCATATTATTAATTATAACATAATACGTCATCTAATAAAAAAATTAGGGGTTTTAATTTACTTTTACAAAAGCGAAAAGTAATGGGTAGTTCGAAGTCAAAATTGGGCAAAACAATTTTATTCCAAAGGTGTGGCGCCCGATAGGCAATATAAAATTGATTAAAGTTCATTTGACAGAAAGGTTCATCTAAAAAATCAGTATTTCTCAAATTGTATTTGTTGATGGGTTTCGGAGACAAGTCATTTTTCCACATGTATACAAAGCATAAAACATTATATATATTTAGCTCGTATATATTTAAAATTCTCATTTCAATAAAATAATGTTTTGCGTAAGAAAAGCAATTTGCAAAGCAGATTAAACGGATAGCATGTTTCTGACGGCGATAAAGACGTTGCAACCTTACTTTTTTCTTTACTACCCCAGGCGATATTAGCATAATTTAAATAACTGTGTATAAATGAATAATAAAGATTGATTAAAATTTTCTTATTGAGGTAGATTCGTGCTTTATATAAAACTCCTATGTTTTTTGAAATTTTAGTGCTTATGTAGTCGATATGATGATTCCAAGTGATGTTTTCATCAAGATAAACACCTAAAAATTTTGTTACGGAATTCCTTTTTATTTCATTTTGATCAATAAAAATTTTAGGTAAGTTTAATGGCAAATACCGTTTTTTGGAAAGCGAATGGAATAAGGTCCACTTTGTTTTATTAGAATTTAGAGTTAACTTATTACATTTAAACCAACTCGATACATGTATAAGTTCTTTGTTCATTGTTTTAAAAAGTTCAAAGATATCACTGTTAGAAAGAAATAAGTTAGTATCATCTGCAAACATAATACTTGTTAGTTTAGAGGCTTTTTATTCCATAGTGTTTAAGTTTATAGATTAGAATTCGGTGATCAACCGTATCAAAAGCTTTTGATAGATCAATAAAAAGTCCTAGAGTACATTGTGATTTTTCAAATGATTTTGAGATTTTACGTACAAATTGGATAATTGCATGTTCAGTTAAAATATGCTTTTTAAAACCGAATTGATTAATGTAAAGTAATTTATTAACATGAAAATATTTGTATACTCTGTTATATATAACTCTTTCTAAAGTTTTTAAAAATGTGGAAAGAACAGAAATAGGGTGATAGTTACTAATAATTGATTTGTCCCCTTCTTTGAAAATAGGAACAATTTTGGCAACTTTTAACAGTTCGGGGAAAACACCTTGATGGATAGAAGCTTTAAAAACTTAAAAAAGAACAACTTTTAGCTGTTCAAAACAATCTATAATAACGTTTCCATTTATTTAGTTGATCTGTATTTAGCAAAAAAAAAAGTTGCAGCTTAGAAAAGGTACAAGTTTTTGATTTTCCCTGTTTTTTTTTCTTATAATTAATAATAAAAAATATTGACTCTTTTGAATTAACTTTTATTTTAGCGGCAATAAAGCAAGAATGGTATTTCAAATAAGAATGGTAAAAATATTTCATTTTATTTTTAGAATTAGCTAATTAGTTTTTAACTAAAAACTGTAATATTGCCATGTTTCATAAATATTTGTTTTTTTAGCTTGCAAAAGAGAGGAACTTGGTAGATATATTTATATGATGTTGTAACCTTTTTTTTTATTTTAATGACTTTATGCTAAATAAAAATAATTTCAAAATTTTTTATTTTCAGCTAAAAGAAAGGAAATTCTTGGTAGGATTTTTAATTTTTTACTAAATGTTGCGTTAATTTGAGCAATAAATTCTTAATTGAGGTGAAATAGATTTATACTTTTTATTAATTTAGCTGCTGAGAGCTTTTACTGCAATCCGGTATTTTATTTGTTACTTTATTTGTTTGTTTTATAAAATAAACTTGCAGGTCAGCAATACATTTTTATGATTTTTATTCAATTTATTTTAATTCTACCAGCTTCTTGAACGCTGCCATCTGGCGCCTAAAGTGGAAACTCAGACCTCTTTGGTAATTCTTTAACTGTTTTGTTTTATTTTTAATTTATTTTCATTTTTGAAAAACTCATGAAATTTTTTTTTTTAATATAGGCTTTTCTAGGAGTGATTTTTTGGTTCAGTGCTGAAGCCACCCTGGGCCTAAATTAAAGAGGCCTTCTGTATATGGGCCCAAAATGGAGGTAAAGATCTGCCTCATTTTAAATACAAACCTCCTGGTGGCCGAAGGGATGGCAGATATTTCAGGAATGGTGACGTTTTCAACAACTATACATATACTTATTAACAAGTGCATGCAGATTCACTTTTTAGTGAATTTATATACACCTAATGATAGGTGTATGTATAGTCTATATGTATATATTGATGATGTTTATATATAGTTATATAAATATATTGATGATGTTTATATATATTTGTATATAGTCTTTTTGTATATTAAGTTTTGTATATAGTTATGAGTTTGTTTTTTTTAATGTAAAATTTGTGTTTATATAAATATTATTTATTATTACAAAAAGATATTGTTTGAGTTTCAACTCACCACACCCTAGGTGTGAGGGGTGGAAAGCTTCAAAATAGTACTATTTTGTGCGCTCTTTGCGCGTTTCCCCAGAAATTCTTTCTTTCTTTTGATGTTAAAACATAAGCATTTAGATATGAAAATACAAAGTAATGACTTTGATATTAGGTTAGAGGATGAAGCTACAGCTATAGAGGGTGCACACAAAGGACTTCTAGCCTTTTAACCTAAAGTATCTAAATCATATTTGAAAGTACCCAGTTGAGTATATTAAAAAATACAAATAAAATTTTAAATTTCAATAAAATTTTGATATTTTTTTTTACATTTTTTACCATATTAAAATGTTTTTTAGACGCCCCTCAAGCGTTCTTTATACATATTTTGTATATAGATATTGCACTTTGTAAGACCTTTCTTTTGATACCAAGATATTTGTATTTCGATAAGAATTGACAAAGTTAGAACAATTTAAGTTAAGAAAGATGTCAAATTCGATCACAGTTTCTTTAAGAAATTCATATATCAAAAAATCAGTACTTATAATGCCATATCTTTTTGTAAAACTATTTAATTCTGATAATTTTTTCACCTTTAAAATACTGAATTGAAGACCTTTTCAATTATATATAGCAATCTAGTGTTTGATCAATTTAAAAAGTTCATGTCACGTACGTAAATTAGTTTTTATTTTAAAATGTTGGATGAGGTCCCCTATAACTCTTCTGGTTTCGAGACTTTCTAACCGTAAGCTTGATAAATATTTTCATACGCATTGTGATTTAAACCTGGTACAAGCTTTGTACCTTTTTGCTGAACGCTTTTTAAATTTTTTTTTTTCATTTTTCAAATGTGGATTGCTAACTGATGCACAAAATTCTAGTTCAGGTTTACATAGTTTAATAAACAAGTCAGTTGACCAGAATTTAAACGTCCGCTTTAGTGTACCTAGTTTTGAGTAAGCTTTTTTACTTATTATTGTGATATCTTCTTTCCATTTCAAATGATGCCTACGTCTCTTTCCTGTGTTGTTTCATACAACTTGATGATTGTTCTACCATGAGTTGCATATATAATTATTTAGAATATCGATGATTGTTCTACCATGGGTTGCATATATAATTATTTAGAATATTACTTATATTGATACTTAGGTCTCGTTCCTGTGTTGTTTTATTTAATTTGATGATTGTTCCATCATGGATTGTATATACAATTATTTATATATGCATGATGTATGAATTATATTATAATGTATACATGATGCATACATATGAAGAGCTTATTTTTGAAACGCGGTATGAACAATTTTCATTTTATGTGCTTCTTTTCTATGTATATCAATAAATGTTGTATACTATAGGAAATACAACTCTAAAAAGGAAAAAAACAATTTTTTTTACAATATTGCTTTGATTACGACAAATATCGGATTATTTGATGACAAATATCGGATTATGTATATTTGATGTCAGATGCTGCGGCTGATGATTGCCAAAAGGTAAGAAATTATAGATAGAACTGCATAGCTCTCTAATGATCCCGAAGAAAGTTTTAAATAACGTAAAAGTTCAGATAAACTTATTGTTTTGAAAAGAAAAATTGCAAATGGAGATATCCAATACATCACTTTAGTATGCATGAATTTAATCTTTATAGCTTATATGTTATATATTATTACAATATTTTTTTAAAATTGTAATGAACATTTTTAATGTTTCTTTTTTATTGTTTCTTTTTAGGTAAAACAGTTATCATTAATTAGCGGTAAAAATCCAGCTGATGCAATTAGCATAAGTTTGAATTTTAACACTTATGTTTGACAGCATGACATTTATCATCTTTTTTATACATGTAGACTGACAACAGGCACTATTTTGTCAGAATACAAAATGAATGGTCTAAAGAATAAAAAAAAGTTTAAAAAGTTGACAAGTCTGTGTAATGTTTTCACCAGTGGCGGATTAGGACTTCTTGGGGCCCGGGGCTATTTTTGTTTTTGGAGGCCTTTTTATGGGCCAGAGCCTAAGAATGACTTAAAAAAAAAAAGGTCCTCTAAAATTTTTAAGTGTTGTTGTTTTTATTAAATGCTGCTTTAAAGTCAAATAAAAACATAACTTAAATGGATCCCATGCAACTTATTGGGAGAGTATTTAGGCATTCTTCTGACAGATTAAAGAGAACATCCATTAATATCAATATCGATCAATGATGACTTAATTAACTATAATCCAATGTTTTATTTTTTATTTGTTTTGCATTTTTCAATTATTCTTGTTTATAGTATACTATCGGTTATACCCTGCAGAATATATTAGTTTTTAGTTTGGAAAGTGTAACTTTGTTTGTAAAATTTTTCTTTTTTTTTTATAAAATTAGTAATTTGTTATAAATATATCAAATTACACTTTATTTACTTTGATTTCTTACCTTATAATAACTTCTATTGCCCAGATTAAATCAAATCTAAGGTGTGTATTGTAATTCGTTGCATTTTTATATACCTTTTAAAAAAATGTCTTGGCAAAATTAGGACGTCTCTAGAACGTCTGAGTAAGTCGTCTTTTAGTCTTTCACATGAGACCAGCCAGAGACGTCCATAAGATGGCTGAAAAAACGTCTCTAGGTTGTCTGCCAAAAACATCTCTAGGACCTCTTAAAAAGAGGTTTTTAGGACGTTTGAAATAGACGTCCTCAAACCAACTAAAGACGTCTTATGAACGAGAAATGAGACGTCTTATGAACGTCTTTAGGACGTCAAACCGCCCGCTGGGCAGTCATTTAAGAAACAATTCATCTTCAACGTTTGTAATTTTTTTATAATATCTAAATATATATATTAAATTTTATTTTGGTAGAATTAGCTAACTATACCCCCTGTAGAAACGTTTTAAAACTTTTAAAAAGTATATATGGTGTTAACTTATAGACCAGCTGGGTTTGTTGTTTTTTTATTACCCAAAATGTTTTTTTTTAATAAAAGAAGTTATGTAATATATCTGATTTTCTTTTAAATATAAAAAATTTAAATGGGAATAACTCAATAATTCAAACATTTGATTCAATATTTTTCAAATGACCGAATCAGTTATTTGAATTATAGAATTGATTTTATTTAACTTTGTTATATTAAAAAGAAAACTAGATATATTACGTAACTTTCATAATGAAAAAAAGATACCGGAAATAGTTACACTATTTTTGTAAGAAGTTTTAATGAAAGAAGAAGATTTAATGAAAAATAACAAGTACATGTAGTGTAAAACGTAAAAAGTGTGACAACTAACTCGCCTGCAAAAATTGTTTTTGAAAATTATTCAAAAGTTTATGACTGGAAAATTTATTAATAAAAGTTATGTAATATATCTGATTTTCTTTTTATTGTAGCAAAGCTGAATGAAATCAACTCTATAATTCAAACAATTGAATCGGTGTTTCTCGAATGACTGATCTCAATTGTTTGAATTATGGAGTTAATCTCATTTACCTTTGTTATATTAAAAAGGAAATTAAATTTTACATAACCTTCTTTAAAAAATTAACAATTTTGTTTTAACTTTTTATCAATTGATTTATTAATATAATTCTGTAAATGTTTAAAATTTAGTAATATCCTCACAGTTCTTGTTCGTATATAATTGATTTTCACTTAATAAATCAGGCTGTGGGGCAAGCATAGATGCCTTTTTACCCCAAAATAGCCGTTTGGCAATAAAGTACGCAGACAAAGTTGCTGACCACGATAGAGCAAATATACTAGCATAAAGAAATGTCTTTCGAGCGCCAAAGGCGTCAATTAATTTTCCACCAATAAGGCTTCCAATAATCATTGATACGCCACTATGTAAACATTGAACGATTCCAAACATTGTTGTGTGAATACTCTTCGGAGCAATATGTTTTAAGTGTTCTGATTTTACACTGAAGAACAGCGACAGACTTAATCCATGAAGAGTAAGTTGTAACGGTATGATTAACCAAGGGTTCTTCAAAAAGTAATATATGAAATAACGAACCGACCAAAGAAACGTGCACATAATCATTGTGTTAAATGTTCCTCTAAGTAATTTTATGATAACTCCGTTGAAAAAATTTACAATCACACCTGAGGTTGATCCAAACGCTACTGTTAATCCAATTAAAAAATTGGAAGATTTAAGTTCCCTCATAAAGAAAAAAAAATAGCTTAAGTATATGCTATACAAGAGACCGTTCACGATAATTGTGATAAAAAAAAGGTTAACTTCTAAGCTTAACAGTGTTTTTATAAGATCTTTTTGAAAAGAATCTGGTCTTATATATTCTTTTTCATCTTTTTTTATAACATCTTTTTTAGATGTTTTTTTACTTTTGTACAAATACTGGAAACTTATACATGAAGCTGATAAAAATATTACAGAAACAAGATATACTGCAAAATAGCATGATATGTCTGCAATCGGAAATATATCCATTACTTTTCCTGAAACTAATGTCCCGCAGGCAAATCCAATGTTTCCAAACATATATTGCCTCCCAAAGTTTTTCTTTTTGACCGATACCTTCACTTTTTCAATAACTCTAGCATCAATATAGCTGTAAATACTTCCACTAAAAGATGCCATAAAAAAACCCAGAGTAGCTATAACATATGTCAGAATTGTTGAAGATACTGGAACATATCCACCAAAGTGTCTGTTAATTAATGTTGAACTGTTTACCGTGATGTTAGAAACATTGTTGCTTAATATAATTGGGCAATGGTTTTTACTTCTTTCTCCTATTCTTGAACTAACGACAGAAATTGACAATGAGAGCGTGCCATAAAAAAAGCATAACAATATAAATATAACACGTTGTGCACCAGTTTTGTCAGCTATAACACCCCAAAAAACGCTTCCTATAATTTGACCAACGTAAGTAAAAGAAATAACGTAACCAACTTGTTTTAGATTTAGACCAATGCTTATTAAAAAAATGGTTAGAAAAGGTGATACGGACGATCTTTCTGCACCTATGAAAAAATAAGTTAATTTAGCTGGTATCATATCTTTATCAATGTAGTACCACTTTTCTTTATTACAAGCATCGTCCACATTTTCTAAATTGGTGCCGTTAATTGATAAATTTAAATTGTCACCGATGACATGCTCTTGCTTAGTGGTTTTGTTATTATCCATTTAAATTTTTGCTTCAACAAAAACCTAATTAAATAAAGTTAAATTTGTTTTACACTACTACAAAAAATATATATTTTTTCTCTTGATTTTGTTAAGCAAAAAAACAAAAATGGTAAAAGTAACAAAATATTGTTTTTTTAGAAACAACATAGCTTAACATCATACAAACAAGGCTAATCGTAATCACGTGTTTGTTCTTAGGACCGATAAAATCTTGTGGATAATTGATGCAGCTAGTAGCAGAACCTAATATAACACAATTTTAATTTTAAGTAGATTTTAAACTAAATGTTCATTTTATTTTTTTCCTGGATCTTTTGATGGGTTTTTTTTTTTTTTTCTATCAAAAGTTTAAATTAAATTAGAAACCACTTTTTAGTTGTTTTTGTTCTAAAGGCATTAAGCGATATCTAAATAAATACTGTTGATTTATTTGATTACAACACATAAACGTAAAGACCGCAAAGTTAAACGTTTAAACTGTTTTTCTAATATTTTTGACAACATCGTATGAAAATTAGTTTTTGATATGTAATGAAAAACATATTATAAAATGCAGAATAGAACACTTAAGTGCTATTTATCTTGTAGTACAAAATGCATAGTTAATTCTATGCGCTCACGACAATACTAAATTGAAATGTGTTAATAATTCAAAGTTTTTTGTAAGTAAATAGGATTAATATTGAATAATGAAATGCCTGGCAACATTTCATTTTGCATTGTTACTAGCTTAAGTTTCTTAAAACATCAATGTTATAAACTAGACTAATGTTATTGTTATTATCGCAATTATTGTTATTATGGCAATCTTATTGAAAATTAAATCATGCATATAAAAAATTAAACGCATACCCAATTACTAATTTTAGGTGTTTTTATGCAGTTTCAGGCTCTAATTTATATTTTTTATATTTATATTTTTTTAAATTAAACTTCATAATCCATATAAAAAGAACTTAAATCTTAAATCTTTTTGTGTATAAATTAATATAAAAGTTTTGCTTCAATATTAGTTTTCAAACCAAAACTTATATATTCTGATCATTGTTAAACAGCTTTAGCTTCGTTTTCTTTACCATCTTGGCGCTAACGACAACATGATGCAAAAATAGTTAAAGATAAAAAAGATGCAAAAATTGCGCTAATCTAATTTTCTTTGTTTTTCTACTTGAGTCAAAATACCGGGGGGTTCAAACTTGGCATGTTTAGCACTAAATTTGTTTTTAGCGTGAATTTTTGTTTATAATTGAAACAATAGCGTAAGTTACGTCACGTAACCTTAAAAGTGTTACAAAATCTTCATTTTATTTAGATACGCTCAACTTTGTGAAATGTATTAAAAAACGTAAATATTTTTTAAATACGTCTTTAATATCTATTATAATGATATATATATATATACATATATATATATATATATATATATATATATATATATATATATATATATATATATATATATATATATATATATATATATATATATATATATATATATATATATATATATATATATTTAATTTCCAGTAAAACTCTTTTTTTTTCTTTTTTTTTTTTTTAATATTTCATTTAAAATTTGGCGATTTTGTTGCCTGACTTATCCATTCCATCAATTTACATTAGGTTTAAGTAAAGTTTTTTTCTCTAAAAGAATTTTAAAATGTTTATATTACATATTAATCAAAAAATACACTTTTTTTTTAATTTTATTTGCTAATAAGTAACATTAAATTTTTCAAAATCAGCTAATTTCAAAATTTCTTCGGGTTTATTAAAAAGTTTAAGAAATTATAATACTTTATTAAATGTTAAAAAATAAAACAAATTATTGCTGTTTATACTCTTTTTACACGACAAAATTATTTGTAATCTCAAGTTTATAGTTTGAAAAAATAACAAGAAGCCGTATGTCCACCTTGAAACAGCCGTGGTTTACCTCTGAGTATAAATTAAAGTCTATTCTCTTACATAAATAACATGCTAAGCATGATAGTAAGCATTATTGTTAATAATATAAAGCTTTTTTTTCATTTTATTGATTTAAGATGTTCTAAATTGTAACCAAACTGTAACTAATTGGTAACTAATTGAAATTTTTATTATTTACGAGCCGTTTTTTCTAAGAATCAGGCAAATTCCTGAGACTGTGGAAGTGACCTCGTCCAAATTGCTTGAATTTTTTATATATTGATCAGAATATAGAGAAAACCTGTTGGGGAAAAAAAAAATTTTCAAAAATGTTTCGTTCACTCGGAATCTGGGCTTAAATTTTTGAGATTTTTTTAAAAATTTTTAGAAATTTAGTTTTTGCCACCTTTGAACCCATTTTTTTGGCAAGGCAAACAGTTGCACATAGCTTTTGTAGTTAATATCAGACGTAACCCAAAAGCTCTCTCCAAAAAATATAAAAAAGTTGCGTGACACCGTGCGGTTGGCTAATTATCATAGTTCAAAAGTACAAAATCAGTTTTGTCAATTTTTAGTCGGAGTTAATTCTAGCGGCGACGTGTTGCACACAATTTTTCTTTTAGGATTTGAAATTATCAAAGGTATTGAGTCTAAAAATGCAAAGAAAGTTATGTGATACCTAAGGCCTATTAACATATTAAGGCTTGAAATTGGAAAAAAATGTTTTAGTATACTTACAAAATGAACCATTACGGCAGAGGCGCTTAGTTTTGTAAAAATGTAAACATATCCAACCGTCAATACAAAAAGGTCCTAACATAATAATAAAAAAAATTCGAGTGATTTTGTCACACGCATGATATAACATGAATTAAAAACTGAACAAAAATCTAACATCAAGATAACTATATTGCTAATTAAATAAAACATAAATCAAACATTTAAATGTTTTTCCATTTAAAAATTAGTTTTTCATTTATTAATAGAGTCATTTACACACATTATCCACCACATCACACATAATTTCTACTCTGCTGCAGTAAGTTTCTCTAAGAATAATGATATGACTGTATAATAGTCTTCTTCGGATGATGAATAATCGCAACAACCACTGATTAGAAAAGGAGCATTTACTAAACAGATAATTTTACCAGTTTGGTTATTTATCTCCTCGGTAGTAACTGGCCAGCGAAAAGTATTCTTCTCTTGCCCGTTAATCATACAATTAACTCTGATCCCAGTTATAAATTCCCTAAAAGTATTAGCGCAACATTTAAAATAATATATTAAAGAGTTTATGATTTGTTTAATTTTGCTTACATTCAATAAAACTTGTAAAGTCTTATATAATGTCATTCTGAAATTATTTTTACATTTTATTTATATTCCTTTTATTTTAGAGCACTGTTTTGTAAAACAAAATAAAAACTTGAAACTAAAATATACTTTGAATAATATTACCTCCACAATATATCCAATATTCCATTGTTTTTCATATGCAACAGCAACCCAATCATTCACTTTCCATACAAGACAAATTTCTTTTGCAAGATTGGCGATGTCTTCCTCATATTTATTATCATCTTCATTGTCTCCTGTCAGATTAAAGTCATCATTTTCGCCATAAACTTCTTTGTTATCGTTAACCTGACTATTTTCATTATTTTCTGTTGTCGGTTATACCAGCTTACCTTTTCTTTTCAGGTTACTAAATCTATAACAATATCAATTGTACATATTTTTAAACATATGTAAACAAACACACAAAATTATAACTTTTACCTAAATTTTAATTTCATATTTGTAAAAGAACTATTTAACCGTCAGAAACATAATCTAATTTGCAAAAGTTTTGATAGCAACAATGCCTACCTTGAAAATAAAGATCTTATCTGTTGGCTAGTTACATATTGATCAGGCGGAAGTTCTCTCCTCAGCTGCATGTGAATCTGCTTAGGGCTCATTTTATTACCCGATTCTTCTCCACGAATAAAGTATTTATACAACAGTTCTTTCTGCTGATTTGAAAATCTAAAAGAACTTCGAACTGGTAATGCCCAACCTTGCAATAGAAAAATGTTCATGCAATGTGGTTTGTCTTTTACGGAAGCACTGTTAGAGGATGAAGAAATTGGCATATTTAGTTGTGAAGTAATTTTCATGTTATGAACAAACGAGTTGCGAACTTTATCCAATGATGTTAATGATTTCGGAACTGTATGAAGACCGGATAGCATGTGTTCTTCTAACTCAGCATCGCTTTCAAATGATAAAGTACAATTCATTTCAGTGCAAAATCTTAATGAATATAATTGTCTGTCACTTCTTTTCTGTTTTTCCTTAAGTGACTTGTTACGCTTAGTTGAATTATCTGTTTTGCTATATGGCAACAACAACTTAATCGAGGGTTGAATTTTAAGATTTCCATACTCTTTTTCAATTCCCTCACCGATATTGAAACAACGCCACATCTTCATACTTTTCTCACCAAACTCAAATGAGTGATAGTTGCTAATGTTCTTAGTCTTTGGTCCAGTAACTACAGTTTTATCATTGCTAATTTGAGCAACTGCTACTTTTGCATCTTTAGAGCCAAAACTATAATGCATAGCCTTGTGTATATCTTCAGCAGTCAAAAGATTATTACCAGAGTCAACGTAACTCCTTAAAATTGTCTTTACAACTGCACTCTCCCTGTCACATTGATCTTTTCCACAACAGGGTTCATTATAATCATATCTCAGCAACTTTATATCTCTCTCTTTGCATACATTGTAGATTGCTTCAGCTGAAAGATTTCCCTGATAGCAGCCGGCATTATCAGATTTGGTAAACATTTTCTTGATATGCGGTTGATCAATTCTGAATTGGTCTAAAACTGCAGTGGCTAACGAAACAACATCACCTATTCCCTGATCACACCTATACATTGAAGTAAAGTAAACACGTTTGAATAACTTTCCTTCTATTTTTATGAAGAATATATCCACATGTAAACTCATTCCTTTCTTGCCAAAATACTCTCTTTGGCCCTCTCTGTATCGTACCGGAAGAATTTTTTGACAAAAATCTTTAAGCCAGAAAGCAGTTTCATCGTTTAATTGCTTAAAAGCTTCAATTTTTGCCTTTTTCTGTTGAGAATCTCTCATCAGGTGTTTTATGTAGTTGAATACATCCTTTACAGCAATTTACAAATCATAAATAGAATCAGCATCGTCAGAATTTTGAATTGTTAGTTCTTTGATCATCTCGATAGCTTTGCACAAATCATAGCAATCGGCACATACCACTTCTGATATCTCAGTGTTGGATTGAAGATTTTTTTCAGATGGATCTGATAAGGCATGTTTTGAGCTATTAGAAGAAATGTTTGAGTCATTGAAACTACAATTGGTTTGATAACTTGTTTTCAAATACCTTTTTCCTTTTTCAAGGGCAGCTTCGAGAGATTTAGAACTAAATCTTTGTGCCAATTTTTGTAATGTTTGAAAACCATTCATGCCTGAAGCAGTAACATCATCTAATCCAGCTAAGCTTTTTCGACTTGAAGGTTTTATTGCATTCAATACTTTCCACAAACTTGAATCAGATAATGGTATATAATTGTTTTCACTACAACTTTTTCGATAGAACATGATAGCGTGGCTATATTTTGTTGTCAGTATTGCATGCACTATCTTTTGTTCTTTACCGCTGTCGTATTTTAATTTGGTTATTCCATAAGCAACATCATGCAAAATACCGCTTGTAAATATAAAGTCTAAGAAATGTTCACACTTTGTTTGATCAAGACTAGATCGGACGAATACTTTCTTCTCTGGAAATGCAAACCCTTTATGAGATGCATGCCATTTTCTTGCTGTTTCTATACGATGTTTGGTACACTCAAATGTGTTCATTATAAACTTTTTGGCATACTTGGTATGGTCTAATAATGAGAGGATAACTAACTTTCCCATGGAATCACTTTGCTTATATACTTTCTGAGCACGAATAATTTCAATTGGGAGAGGGCTATTTATTTCATCAACATTTTTACTGTTAAGAAAATCTATAAGTATTTCCTCTTGTCCAGGAGCAACAGCTTCCGCAAATTTTTTCTGTAATAAGTTTTCTAGGCGAACATACTTGCGTTTTAACTTATCTTTAGTAGTATCTTCCAAATATTCGAACTTCCTTTTTAATCTAAATTTTATTGGACTTGCATTAAGAACTTCAGTTACACTCTCACGGCTTCTTAGAGATTCGTCCAAAATCTCCTGTGAAACATTAATTTCACCGGGATCAAATTCTTCATCTGGAGTAGCAGGTGTCATATATGTTTGTTCTTGTTGTGTTTGTGTTTTTGTACATAAATTGGTGTTTTCGTTGACTCTAGATAAAGCAGTTTCTTGCTTTAAATGGGTAAAACACAGCATTGCACCAACTGAAAATACTTCATTGTATCGCTTTGACATTGATATGACGACATGTATTGGTGACGCCCTTAAAGCGGGAGATTTTTTACCTTTTATATTTAGATGGTGAGGATGAAAGCATGTTTTTGGAGGACTCCATGCAATACCAAACATGTACCGGTGAAAAGCACATATTTGTTCATCCTTTTCAAGATTTCTTCTAAGTCTATTTGCAATAAGTCCATTTTCTTCCCAAATATTATTATCGTTTAATCGCATGACCTAAAAACAATTTTTTAAACAATTATTAAGTGTGTCATTTAAAGCATTGTTTATAATCTGACTCTTCACGAAAAATGTTTACAAGTTTGAAATACATTGTTGTTATTATTAAAATACAATATTGCAAGAGTATGATTAATTTAGTGATTATTTATTAAAAGAGTGAGGAATTAATTAAAAGAGCTATTTTTTTTGTTTAAAGAACTTTGTCTCAAAATCTTATTGCAGAGAAGTTATAAAGTATGTAATTATAAAAATTATATTACAGTCTGCGTAAATTTAAAATACATAATTACCTTTAAGTTGATGAGGTGTTTCTTAACATCAACATCTCCCAGCTGATGAATGTTGAACACTTTGTTTATAATTTTATGTTTTTTGAATGATCCACAATTTCCTTTTGAAAAGCAACAACAGTTTTCATAAAAATATTTGTTTTGTTCCATACTCAACTAAAAACAAGTTCTATTTATGCAGAACCTATTTCTCAATAGCAATGATAAAATATCTACTCTATTTATGAAAATTTTAAAGATCGTTAAAATAAAGTTAAGACATTTTTATGGTAAAGTAAACAACCGCCCACTAACTTGTTTCTCCCCAATCGTGATATCAGCGATTCTTCTTCCATTCGATCACCACAAGTTATTTGGTTATGACGTAAATTTAAATAATTCACTTCTGATCATGTATTGTTTTTTATTATTATTTATTTCAATTGTTATGATTTCTATATCATAGTCAGAAACGCTTAAATTTTTTCTTAACATTACGTGCAATGTTTTGTGTAATGCTAATTGCTAATTTTGGATGATAGAAATTTTATTGTGAGCGAAAACCTCATCTGTGTGTCCAAATAAATATCTCTTCGTACTTAATCATTTTTAACAACTTGTACCTTTATTTTTAACTTAATATCTAAAGATCACATGAGTTTTTTTTTTAAACTATGTTAGGGTCATCTTATATTGACCATTTAACATGATTATTTTTTTACAAAACTTAGCGCCTCTGCCGTAATAGCTCATTTTGTAAGTATACTAAAACATTTTTTTCCAATTTCAAGCCTTAATATATTAATAGGCCTTAGGTATCACATAACTTTCTTTGCATTTTTAGACTCAATACCTTTGATAATTTCAAATCCTAAAAGAAAAATTGTGTGCAACACTTCGCCGCTAGAATTAACTCCGATTAAAAATTGACAAAACTGATTTTGTACTTTTGAACTATGATAATTAGCCAACCGCACAGTGTCACGCAACTTTTTTATATTTTTTGGAGAGAGCTTTTGGGTTACGTCTGATATTAACTACAAAAGCTATGTGCAACTGTTTGCCTTGCCAAAAAAATGGGTTCAAAGGTGGCAAAAACTAAATTTCTAAAAATTTTTAAAAAAATCTCAAAAATTTAAGCCCATATTCCGAGTGAACGAAACATTTTTGAAAATTTTTTTTTTCCCCAACAGGTTTTCTCTATATTCTGATCAATATATAAAAAATTCAAGCAATTTGGAAGAGGTCACTTCCATAGACTGCCTGATTCTTACAAACAACGGCTCTTACAAATAACTTTATTGTTACAGCGTTGTTATAATTTATTTAAAGCTCTGTAATCACGGTCGTTTAGATATTAGTAAAAAGTGCTATCTTTAGGTACGCATGCGTAAGAAAATACAAAAACTTTTGAACTTTTAAAATGGCTACGGTTCTTAACTACAGAGAATATTTTATATGGCAACAGTTTATTTGTTAACCAATTTCTGAAAAGCCAGTGATATAGCCTTATTTTTTGCGTAAACCAATAAAATTATACAAAAATTTCAAAAAAATATAAATAAATAGAGGTAACAAAAATCTTTGCGCGCTAAAGCTGTATTTTTGCTTAATACTTTTTTAGTGTAAATCATAGATTTGTTTATTTATTTAAAATCAATTTTCTAAAAATCTGACTGTAGGATTTCAATATATTTTTTTTAAACTTCAGATAAATATGTTCTATATGTATGATATTTTTCTGGTCATTGCTTCAACTTTTTTTCCATATAAAAATTTGTTTTTACTATTATGACTATTTCCTTATATATCTGACTTATATATATGACTATTTCCTTATATACTGTTATGACTTTTTTCTTATATAAGTGCAATTTCATTAATTATTTTTTTATTTACTATTTTTCTGATATATATATATATATATATATATATATATATATATATAACATTGTAATTTACTAACAATAATGTTTATATGTATATATGTATATATATATATATATATATATATATATATATATATATATATATATATATATATATATATATATAACATTGTAATTTACTAACAATAATGTTTATATGTATATATGTATATATGTATATATATATATATATATATATATATATATATATATATATATATATATATTTCAATTTACTAACAATAATGTTTATATGTATATATGTATATATATATATATATATATATATATATATATATATATATATATATATATATATATATATATATATATATATATATATATATATATATATATATAGATAACATTGTAATTTACTAACAATAATGTTTATATGTATATATGTATATATATATATATGTATATATATATATATATATATATATATATATATATATATATATATATATATATATATATATATATATATATATATATATATATATATATATATATATATATATATATACTTATAAGCATTATCGTTGTAAATTACAATGTAATATATATATATATATATATATATATATATATATATATATATATATATATATATATATATTTATATGTATATATATATATAGTAACAAAAATAATAAAGTAAAAAACACTTTAATATATTAGGAAAAAGTCATATTAGTAAAAGTAAGTTTTTATATTGAAATAAAGTTGAAGCAATAGCAAGAAAAATATCATCAATATAAGACATATTTATCTAAAGTTAAAAAAAATATTATCATTTAATAGGATTTCCCCAAAATAAACTTTTTTGAACAGTATAAGCTTAATATGTTTCATATAATAAAAAACAACTGGTTTTTAAAATTTTTAGAAAAAAAAATATTTTGATGACTCCCTCAAGACCCTTTTTTTTTTATAATTATTTGGAACACATCAAAATCCTAATAATTATAAAAAAAAAAAAAATATATGAGTGCATTATGTATAAATTATATCATAATGGTCATATCATAAGTATTATGTATAAATTATATCATAATGGAAAAAAATATTGCCAAAAATTGGTACTAATGGACATTTTTCTTTCTTAGTTAATAAAATTCATTTTTTATGGTGTTAAATCTAAATTATTTTTTAACTTATTTTAAATATGTTGTATGTGTGTTATATGTTATATGTATGTTATAAATATGTTAAATGTAACCTATTTTAAATATGTTAAATAAGTATAAATATGCAAATATATGCATTTAAACAGTTGATATATGCAAATATATGCACTAATACAGTTAAAAAAAAATACTTGCATCATAACAAGCAGGTCTTTAATCACTTATTTTTTTATATTACTTGCAAAGAATTTTACTGCAAAAAAATATTTGCATTTCAGGTAAAAAAAACTGGTTTTTAAAATTTTTTGAATAAAAAATATTTTGATGACTCCCTCATAACCCTTAGGAACTTGTTATGTTTTATTTATTTAGGAACTATGTTTATTTAGAAAAAAGTTTTACTTGAGTGCATCATTTTGAGTCTTAAATGAAGCAAAATTATATGAAAATTTAAATGTTAGATTTAACACCATAAAAAATAAACTTTATTAACTAAAAAAGAAAAATGTCCATTTTTATCAATTTTTGGCAATATTTTATTCATATTTGAAATTTTCGTGATTTCGCTTAATTTGAGCCAAAATCTCAAGATACACTTTTGAAGATTTTTTTAATTGATAATAGTAGGAACTCTTTATATATTTAAGGGACTCCAAAAATGAGTTTTCTTCAAAAAAATTTTAAAACCAGTGTTTTTTTATCATATTAAACACATTAGGAGGTGGCAGCTATATATTTTATATATTTTTTTTAATATAGCTGCCAAAAATTTAAAAATTTAAAAAAATATCTTAATAATAAATAAGCTGATAGTAATACAGTGCAATAACGGTTCCAATCATATGTTGAATTAAATATTTAAAAAGCCACATATTTTTTTGTAATATATATATATATATATATATATATATATATATATATATATATATATATATATATATATATATATATATATATATATATATATATATATATATATATATATATATATATATATATATATATATATATATATATTTTTATATATATTACAAAATAAAAAACGAAATGTCTTTGTTTTACTTCTGCACTATGTATGCAGAAATAAAAAATATAATAATTCCCAAAATTTTTTCCATAAAATTTCACATGCTTATATGTCTAAAATGTTTTGTTTGATTTCTGGCTCTTAATGTTATATTCCAATCATAGCATTGTGATCTCCCAGAAGCATCATTTTCATAAATTGTTGTTCACAAACAAGAGTTGGTAATTTTAAAATAGTTTCAATACAAGATTTGCATAATTCTTTAACATAAGTTGTGCAAAGAATCGTTGCAGATGAAACTTTTGCTCTGTACACTTTAGTAAAAAATCAATAATAATTATGTCACAAAAGCATTATACAAAAAATGATCAAACTGCAAATATAATGTAGAACTACTTTTAGAATTGTTTCCTTTATTAGTTTATGTGTTGAAGATGTTCCAGACTTAATGCCATTCCTTTCGAAAAGTTATTTATATTTTGCCCTTTGCAGTTTTTATGTTTAACTGTAAATAAGTAAGTCAGATATATCAAATCAATATTAACATAACTAAAAACTAAAATTATTATAAAAAAAATTATCCTACAAGTACAATTGCATAGAGATTATTATTAAATGAAAATATTTTATTATACTTTATACTAGAGTTTGTTGAATATTGCAACAAAAAAGTAAAAAATGCAGTAAAAAAGAATACTCTTATGCTTAGACTTTCCCTATTTTTTAAGTATAAATATGCAAATATATGCATTTAAACAGTTTAAATTATATATATATATATATATATATATATATATATATATATATATATATATATATATATATATATATATAAATATATATATAAATATATATAAATATATATATAAATATATATATATATATATATATATATATATATAAATATACATATATATATATATATATATATATAATATATATATATATATATATATATATATATATATATATATATATATATATATAAATATACATATATATATATATATATATATATATATATATATATATATATATATATATATATATATATATATATATATATATATATATATATATATATATCGATTGATGTTAAATTTGTATTACAATAGTAATACAAAACTCTATTTCGGTTAAGAGTGCTCAATAATAAAGAAAGTAAACAACTTTCTAACTAGAGCAGTATATATATATATAAATATATATATATATATATATATATATATATATATATATATATATATATATATATATATATATATATATATATATATATATAAATATGTATATATATATATATATATATATATATATATATATATATATATATATATATATATATATATATATATATATATATATATATATATTTACATATAGAGAAAACAACTTTTCATGGGACTAATAGTTTCATGCCAATATGGCAATCATCAGCCATATACTGTATCAAAAACAAACAAACCGTTAATAAAATTACAAAATACAGTGGAGCGACATCTGACAAAAAAAG